GAGAGAGAGAGAGAGAGAGAGAGAATGGGGCGGTTGTTAATGGGGCACATGGCACGGTAGGGGGTTTTTCCTGTATTGACCAAGGGGGATCGTTTTCCAACCCGAACCCAGTCCCGCCAGAAGCCAAAAAGGGAAAAAAAAAAAAAAAAAAAAAAAGGGAGGAAGGCAAGGAAGGATAAGTGAAGGGGGTAGTAAAGTACAACGAATATAGGTTATGTGTTTGGAAGACAACATTAGGGGAGAAACGAAAGTTTAGGACAGCGGGAGGAGAGAACCTACAGTCGAAGGTTTAGGGTTTAGGTTTTGGTCAGAATTAGGGCAAACAGGGTTCATAATAGCAAACTTTTCATGTGGCTCACATGAGGGATTTATAGTTCACACAAAATTGGCAGCTTTGGCAGCTTATAGGACCTTATCTCGCTAGTCATGCTTTATAAGACAGGTTTCCACAGTAAACCTGAAAGGAAAGGATGAAGCAGGGCAAGCTGATAGTTAATCCTCCATGATGCTGGAGCAATCAATGCTGGTCAGGGGTCCTTCGGCCGGCCGAAAGGAAGCGTGGGTGAGTACTTATGATGTATATTTTTATTCTGACTTGCCGGTGGAATAGGAACTTGACTGATGCTTCCCAGAATGGAAATGAAGCCAGGACCATAAGGGCCTGTTTTTGTTATAAAAAAAAAGGGGAGGGCCTGCTACCGGTACCTGCTGCCAGGCCAGGTGTTACATGCCCAGTTGGGCGATGTACATAATAACTGAGGATCCGCAATGTGACAAAAAGGACTGAATGGACAATGCAGTGCAAGTGGAATCTCAACAAGCAATGTGCATTCTGATACATACAAAAGGTGCTTTATAGCGCGGTGGAAGGCTTAGATACAAGTCCTGACCTGACCGGGACTGACCTCTTTCACGTAGCACAAGATAGCGAAGCAGAATGYTAGAGTACTAATGACTAGCCCAATCGATGTTTCAAYGCAGACCAAACATACATCATGCTCATCACRAAATGTGAAGGGGCCTGGCGCYATACACAGGAAAGAGRCGCCAGGTCCAGACATACACAGACGAAGAGGAAGGGATCAGACGAAGAAGAGGAAGGGGGAGATGGGAAMGTCGTCAACACCAAGTCTCGTCACAAGTCCCAAATAATCCCTCTTCAAAATGGCTGAAGTCCCATGTCGAGTCTGGATCCAGTGTCACCAAGCTCTCTCTCTCTCTCTCATAGTCTGCTGATGCAGTGAAGTCAGATAGCGAGGGGGTGAGAAGGAGGTGGTGGACTGAGAAGAGGAAGAAGGACTCTCTCTCTCTCTCGTATGCCAGGTACTAACCTGTGAAGATGGCGTTGTGTTGCAGGTACCTCGATGACGAAGCTGGAGCAACGGCGCTGCAGGTAAGTATCCCTGGCCTCCGCCAATCTCTCTCTCTCTCTAGTACTACTCTAGCTATGGCGCCCAGCGTTGAAGACTATAACTAACGCTACTAGCGCCCAACGCTGAAGACTACTGCTAACGCTACTCTACTCCTGCAGCGCTCCTCCAGAGTGCTGTTGTCGAATCCTGAAGACTACTGACTGCCTCCTGCCTACCCGTGAACTGCATGGGAAGTCCCTATGTACTACCTCGGCCTGCCTCCTGACTACCTCCGACTGCTTGCGGTTGCCGGGCAAACAGTCTAGGAGGCTGCTCTTGCCAATGCCAAGCTGAGCCAGAGGCTGGCGCTACAGTTGTCGTGGGAACAGGCCAAAAATAGCCTGTTCCTAAAATCCTGGTTCGGTGCCTGAGTTTCAGGCCAGGTCGGTCTGATGACAGACTGAAAATGGCCCTTCATTTTAGGCTAAAAAGGCTATTGCCATTTTTAGTCTGAAACGACACAGGGTCTGTAGGCCCCTGTTTTTCACGCTTTCGAGCTGAACAGACACGGGGCCTGTAGGCGCTGGTTTTCAGTCTCTCAGCATGGATTTCAGGCTTTCAGCCTGAGGAACGCAGGGCCTGGAAAATGGCCCTCGTGTGCAGGCGCAACATGTAACACCCCCCCCTCCTTATGAAGCCAAGTAGGGGCGAGGGCGAAGCTGACGATCTGAAGGTGGAACTTGGACGTGGGTGTGGCGTGGAGTCGAAGAGACCGGCTCGCCTTGCATCTTGCGTTCGTAGCATGCCAGAAAGTCTGGAGCTGTTATTTGAAGTTCCGCACGGGTCAACCAACGGTCAGCTCGGTGTGTGCAGTATGCAAAATGTACCGTAGCGTCGCTGGGAGATGATGTCGCCGACCTCCTGAAAACCGTCCATAGAGGGTGGGTCTTGCAAACGTCTCTCGGGAAAATCATCATGTTCCACTGGCGTGTAAAGAGCCAACTTGGAGCAATGAAAGACTGGGTAGTCGGGCAAGTGGGCGGGCACCTGAATAGTGAAGGAAGGTCCCTCGGGTGCATCCCCATCGGGTGCCACGATTGGCCAAGGTCCCATCCATTTCGGGAGGAGCTTGTGAGAGATATCTTGTTCAAGGCTGAATTCTGCGGCGGAGACCCAAACGAGATCGTCGGCGCAGAATGGGCAAGGAAGACGCTGGCGATTGGCCTGTTGGCTCATGCGTTGCTGCGTCTTGGCCATCTGGTCGCGTGCCTTGACAAGTAGCTCTTGCATCGGATGCAAGAAAAGGAGATGGTCGTCGCTCTTAGCCGTTCGTGGAATGATTGTGTCCAACGACGAAGTGACCGGCGAGCCGTGCTCGAACTCGAAGGGCGACATCTCGATAGCCGGGTGGATGGAGGAGTTGTAGGCCAACTCGACATCCGGCAGCAGCTCAACCCAATCCTTTTGGTCAGGACGGATGAGAGTGCGAAGGAGAACCTGTGCGGTCTGGTGCGCCCTCTCCGTTTGGCCATCGGTCTGGGGGTGGCGAGATGAACTGGGCTTGAGAGATGAGCCCCATCGCTTGATGAGCGCCAACCAAAAATCGGACATGAACCAAGTATCGCGGTCGCAAACGATTTCCTTGGGGTAACCCTTGGTTCGAATCCAACCGGCATAGAGAACCTTGGCCAACTCCGGTGTCTTGGCATGATAGCGGCAAGGCAAAAACGTGGCGAACTTGGTGAGTTGGTCGACCACCGTGAGAATCCCATCCACGCCGGTCTTGTGCTTGGGGAACGGCCCGATAATGTCCATGGCAATCGCTTCCCTTCGCCTCAAAGGGACTGGTAATGGTCGTAACTCGCCGTACGGACGATGGTTGCGGGATTTGCAGCGTCGGCAAACCTCGCATGACTCGCAATAGCGTGTGACATCGCTGAGAAGGCCGGGCCACCAAAATCGCTCGCGAAGTCGGCCAATCGTGCGATTGACTCCAAAGTGTCCGGTGGCGGGAGCATCGTGGAACTCGCCAAGAAGCCATGTACGCAAGTGAGGATCACTCGGTACGCAAAGAAGGTCCTTCCCCCGCGTGTGTACAAGCAAGTACCCCTCTTGGATCCGGTAGCGAGAAGGCGCCGGATTAGGAGAGGAGCAATTCGCGTACTTGTCGCGAAACTCGGGGTCGGCTTGGTAACCGCGGATGAAGTTGTCCCGCAGGTCGTTGTCGATCTCGAAGGTTGAGTAGACAGCGGTACAATGATCTGAACGTCGTGAAAGAGCATCCGCAAAACGGTTCGACTTCCCCGGAATGTGATCGGGAAAGAAGTCGAACTGGTCGATGAAAGCCATCCATCGAGCAATGGTGCTGTTGACGGTGTCTTGGGTCTTGTAGAAGACCAACGGATTGTTATCCGTTACCCATCAGAATTGGCTTCGACCAAGGAGGAAGTGCCGCCACTGCTTGAGCGCATGGACGAAGGCGAGGAACTCCTTGCGTGCATCGTCAATGGAGTGCACGACCGACACTTTCTTGCTGAAATACTCGACCGAGTGCCAGTCCACGCCATCGTGTTGCTCGAGGACGGCACCAATGCCATAGCCGGACGCATCCATAGTGACGTGTGTAGGCAAAAGCGGGTTGTATATGCGCAAGACCTCCGCAGATAATAGTGCGGCTTTGAGAGCCAAAAATGATTCCCGCGCATCCTCTCCGAAGTCAAACGGCCGATCCTCGCATTGAAGCTTGGTCAAGTGGGCTGCGATCTTTGAGTAGCCCTCGATGAAACGCTGGTAATAGCCGGCGAGGCCAAGGAACGAGCGGACATTCGTGACGTTCCGTGGCTCCGGCCACTCTTGGATGGCTTGAATCTTGTCCGATAGCGGACTGATGCCCCCCGGTGTGACAAAATGGCCCAAGTATTCCAGCTCTTGCCGGACAAATTCGGACTTGTCGCGGTTGGCCTTGTACTTGGCGCGGCGGAGCGTCTCCAACACTTGTCGAAGATGCCCAAGATGATCCTCCAATGTCCGACTATAGACGAGAATATTGTCCAAGTAGACCAGCACGAACCGGTCCAACATTGCACGAAACTCGTTGGTCATTGCCGCTTGAAAGGTCGCCGGGGCGTTGGTGAGGCCAAAAGGCATGACCACCCACTCAAAATGCCCATACCGCGTCTTGAACGCAGATTTGTAATGATCGTTCGGTCAGATCGAGATTTGATGATATTCGGACTTCAAATCCAACTTGGAAAAATACTTCGCGCCGCCCAATCGCTCAAGAAGATCGTCGATGCGAGGAAGGGGCCCCGCATTCTTGACGGTTTGTGCGTTGAGCTTGCGGTAGTCGATGCATAATCGTAGATCTTTGTTTTTCTTCCGTACAAAGAGAACTGGTGCTCCATATGGAGAGCTACTAGGGCGGATCCAACCCTTGGCCAACAAGTCGTCGAGTTGTGCGCGGAGGACCTCAAGCTCCTCCTCGCTCGTCCGATAGATACAACCTTTCGGCGGCACGTCACCAGCCTCAAGAATGATCTCGTGAAAGATTGGCCGATCCGGCACCACACCGGTAGGTGACTCGAAGATGTCGGCGAACTCGTCCAGCAACCGCACCACCTGGGGGTCCGAAGACAACTCCGTGGGTGAAGAGTCGGCTACCGCAACGGTCCGTAGAAAACATAGGCTGATTTCCTCGGGCTGCTCGTAAGCGCAAGTCGCCCAGAATGATTTGGTTGTCACCACTTGGCACCGAATCAAAGGGTGCGGAAGAGGAATAGTACACGACACTTCGGCGCCCAAGGCGTCGCGAACGGTAAGAGTCCGCCGGTGGAAGTTGACCGTGTGATCCGCACTTGCAAGCCAAGGCATTCCCACAATAATATCGAAGTTCGTGTCCAAAATGTCGAACGTCACCGGTTCGCATGCATGAGGTGCGAAATACACCGGTACGGCCTCAATGTAACGGTCGAGAAGTTGCTGCATTTTTCCATCCGCCAACTTGATCGCCATCGGGTTTGCCTTCCTCCGAACTTGTACGCCAAGGCCAGCCCTTTGCATAAAGGCTTGGCTCATGAAATTGCGACACGCGCCGCTATCCAGCAAAGCGTTGCAGGACGCTTGCCCAACCTGGATGCGGACATACATGAGCGATGCGTTGTTGTCATCATACGAAACTCGCGGGCCACCTTGGTAACATACGCAAGGATGTCCCCCACCACGACTTCGTCATCCGTCGACGAAGTTGGTGGTGCATAAAAGGATAAGTACGTGTGGAGATGAGCGCATAGTGCTGCGCATTGCGGTCCCGACAAGCGGCCCGTGGTCGGGAGAGGAAGCCATGCAAAGTCCTCGGACGTGAGCGGGTCCAATACCTCTATGTTGAACTCGCGCGCCGAATCCCGTGAAGAACCATTTGAAGACGATAAGTCGCCGTTGCCAGACGAAGAAGATGCCGCACACACGTCTTGTCCTTGAGCTTGAGTACCCAGCGTAGGAACGAGTCGGGCAGCATAGTCCTCTAAAGAATAAAGACGAGGAGGATTATCGACTTCCGCATGTGCCTCAGAACGAAGGGCGGTCACCCGCGAAGCGACCGGTTCCGAAGGCGTCGAGAGTGTCGTCGAGTCACTCCCGACGGTGCTCAGTTTCCCGATTCGCCCTTGCCTTTCGACGGGCAGGCCAGCATCTCATGGAGATCGCTGTTGCACCATAGGCAATAGTGAAATCTCGTGCTCGCTTTGAATGCTTGCTCGGAGATATTGTATTGGGACCATGGGGCTGGAGCTGCTGCGCCGGGCCCGGGGCTAGATGCGGTGTTTGTCTTCGTCTTGCCACATCCTCGGCCTTTGCTGGAGCGGCCACCTTCCCGGGCGGCTGCGAGTCTGTCCCCTTCATTGGCAGACACGGCCTCGCTAGTTTGGTCAAACGGCGTTGCCGCCGCGACCACAACCACTTTCGGCCGACGTTGGTCTCTACTCGGGCCTACCGCAGACGAACGCAGGTTCTTAGCCTCCTTGTTCGTGATAATAATCTGTGCGGCCTTGTCAAAGTGTCCTCGACGTGAGTGAAGGCATTGCTCAACGCCGAACACGACCTTGAGATAAAATAGTGGCGGATGGCTTTGAAGCCCATTTGGATGTCTGGGATGGATATCAAGCGTTGGTACTCGGCAATCCAGTCGACACTTGGCAGTGTGCCTTGTTCGAAGACCATTAGCTTGTCCATTGCCTTGATCTCTGGTGGCTCTACTTGGAACCGCTTATGCCACACCGCCTTCAGATCATCCCAATTGATCTTGGTATGCAAGTCGGCAACTACCACTCCGTACTTGGACAAGAGATTGTCCAACCATGCCTGGCACGCGCCCCCAAACGGGAGTATAAGTACGCGTGGTGCTTGTGTTCTTTGACGTAGTGTAGCTACAGCGTGAGCTCGAACTTGCAGAACCATGGAATCGGATTTGTCTTCGTCGAGTCGCAGAAGATCTCCTGCCCGTCAAACTTTGGAGCTGTCTCGCGCGGTTCCGAACTCGAGTTGTTGGCGGCAGTACAGATCCGCTGCTCCAACTGTTGCGTTGCGGTCTGCTGTAACTGCACGCTGTCCTTGAGGGAGCCGACGTCTATGTCCAATGCTTCAAGGCGATCGGAGTTGTTGGAAGAGCTGGCATAGGGGGCGGCGACGGGTCGCTGCTCCAGCTGCCGGAGGCGGCCGTGGACTTGAGTCAGCGCGTCGTCGAGGCTGTCAATGTCCTCCTGCTGTGTAATGCATGTTGCCAGGAGGTCCGTGAGATGGGAGAGGAGTAGAGCGATCTTGTTTTCACTATCCTCCATCTTGCCATTCTCGGCCTCGGCCCGCCAATCCGCTGCCATTGTGAGCAAAGTCTGCTCTCCGCTAAATATCTTCTCACGACGTTGAACTCGTTCTTCATCAGCAACCTTTGCTGCTGCCTCGTCATGCTGGCGCTGCTGTTCAATTGCCAGCAGACATGCCTTCTCGGCGTCCTCCGCCTTCTTCTTAGCTGTGGTTGCTACGTCATCCGCCCGTCTCTTGGTTTTGGTACTCCAGGCCAGCATCCGGGCCTGATAGGCCTTGTCTGTTTCCCCGGCCTTCTGGTCCATGACGGCTGTTTGTGAGCGCAACAGCATAGACCAGGGCGGGGGCCTGTTGACGTGGTATTCCCTGCTGCTGACGTGGCACTGCTGTTGGTTGACATGTCCTGCTGACGTGTCCTGCTGATGTGTCCTGCCGACGTGGTCTGCTGGCGTGTCCTGCTGACGTAGTCTGCTGATGTGGCCTGCTGATGTGGCAACTCACCAATGCCGCCGCAGGGGGTACCCGGAGACAGATAGAGAAGGTAAGACCAGAAGGGGCAACAGTAGTGGTGGGGAGGGGTGGGTGGGAAAAATCGCCCAGATAAGGAGCCACTAATGAAAAAAGAAAAGTTCGAACTTTGCAAAAAAAAATTCAAGAAAAAAAAAATCCCGAGTTTTGCAAGTTCAGTAGGTCTACCTACCTCCCTTGAAGTGCGAAATTAGTAATGAGAAAAATTTTCGAACTTCAGACTGCAAATGATTATAGAACTGTGACTAAAAGAATCCTAGAACTGCGAAAAAAAATTCCGAAAAGAAATGACAAGTATTTGGATTTACTCAGATGAGAGTATTCACAGTTTGGAAAATGGTACTGCAAGAGGGATTTCCCGTACCGTTTTCAGAAAAACGAATTTCGAAAAATATTCCGAATTTCCAAATAACGGGAAATGCAACAGGAAATAAAATTTTTTGAAAAGAAAGATATTCCAGATTTTCAACAACGAAATTCTGAATTTTCAGAAGAAAAACGAAAACGGAAATTTCAGATGTTGCGCTATTGCGATTTTCCACAACAGAAATAGCGAGAAAACAAAATCCAAGAAAAGAAAAAAAAAATCGATTTTCGGCAGTACGGCCAAAATCGTGATTTTGGGGGCTAACTAGTGTGCTCTAATCAATCAATCAAGACTAATCAGCTACCAAGTCCCCGCACACGTGTCAGATCAGGTTGTCCTGATTCACGTGCGGTGTTCCGATACCAACTGTTACATGCCCAGTTGGGCGATGTACATAATAACCGAGGATCCGCAATGTGACAAAAAGGACTGAATGGACAATGCAGTGCAAGTGGAATCTCAACAAGCAATGTGCATTCTGATACATACAAAAGGTGCTTTATAGCGCGGTGGAAGGCTTAGATACAAGTCCTGACCTGACCGGGACTGACCTCTTTCACGTAGCACAAGATAGCGAAGCAGAATGCTAGAGTACTAATGACTAGCCCAATCGATGTTTCAACGCAGACCAAACATACATCATGCTCATCACAAA